TAAAACATCGCTGTGGAATAGTTTACCCCCGGCGATTTTTCCGGACCCATACGACTTAGGGACTTTCAAGAAAAGAGCTTACTCCTTTTTAAAAGGCCTGCAACGCAACTGCGATTCCCCTGGTGTTTTGGTTGTTCATGGGTGACGGTAGTCACTTACCATCAGGTGAGCCGCATGCTCGTTTGCCCCCTCTTCTTTAAAAAATATATCAAAACTAGCAAGTAGACTTAGTTTTGCAGCATATGCTGTAAAAGTTGGTTAACTAGACTAGTTTGTATTTCCATAGTAAAATATGATATAGTATTTTACTATGGGGATACTGAACTTATATTTGTTTCACAGAAGGGCAATCGTAGAATCACAGAAATCACAAGAGAAATCGTATTTTGATTTAAAACCTAAAGAGTCGTTTACATAAAAATTTAAGGAAATTGATATATTAACTTTGGACTCTCAATACATTTATGAATATGTTATTATTATGGTAAACTGTTTTTTTTTTAAATAAAATTCCGTATTTATTTAGGTATTTTCCGAACAAGTGGTTAATTAAACATAAGAGTTACTTTCAATTAGTAATATTTACAATCTATATTGAATAAAAAAATCTGTTTCTGCTACTTATATTTTCATTTTATTCACACTAATTCAAGTCAAAAAATATAATTCCAAACAAGTTATGTTAGAATGTCGTACTGAAAATGTGTTAACAGTTAAAATTGGTCAAAAATACTAATATTTTTGGTTTAGAAAGCAATTACTGCACATTGGCAGTTTAACAAAAGTTGCTCTGCTGTTGGAAAGCTTATGAAGAAAAAAATAGGTTTAATTTTGTTCCAATGTGTAATCAGAAAAAGATGATAGTATTATATCAAATATGCTAAGCCAATTTAAACATTTTAAAATGTTCTTATAACAAATGCGTACTGAAAAATATCTAAGTCGATTTGATGTATGACTTTGTAATATTGAGGCGTGTGTCTGTTGCTACTCGTAAGAATTCAATAAGACTGCTGCTAAAAATTTCTAAAAATTTAAACTTAGCACTTATATATAATGTCGTGGGAGCTACGTGACACTACGCCTCCCACCGACAAAAAAGTGAATACATTGTTTTTTTTCTTAATTTTGAAAATATTATATCTAAATAGAATATAAATTACATAAATTATGACAGGTATATTCTATAGGTAGATCGGATGGCCAGGTCCCCCGTCGCATATGTCACAATCTTGTACATAGTTTCGTCACAGTCTATTAATACTAAGTGTTTACATACGTTTACATATTTCCTTATAAAACATTACATATATATTCCAAAATGTAGTTGTATTGCATTTTTTTACCCAGTCACTTTGTTATTAAATAATTTAGTTACTTAAAACTCTTAAATCATTTTGTCATTATACCAATAATTCATCTAGTCCGAACAATAATAATATATGATACTCTTTTGATTTTCACATTCACATTACAATTTTTTATTTTATCCTTTTTTTACATCATACATTTACTTCATTCTTGGTTTACCATTATTCATTTTTCATTTTACTCCATAGCATTAAATATTTGTATAATTTTTTTCACATATACGCCTCGTTTACATACATGAGCAACGCATTCGGTTATCAGTAATTTTATTAATAACAATTAGTCTCATAATCATTATCGCTTTTATTTCAGCCCTTCACAAGTCCACTGCTGAACATAGGCCTCCCCCAAGGAATGGCACAAAACACAGTCCTGAGCTACCTGCATTCATCGACTTTCTGCATGTCTTACAATGTCGGCACTCCACCTCCACCAACATCCACTCTTTGTTCTAACAAGCAGTGGCACGAGCAAGGCTGCAGTCTTGGGGTTTTATTTTTAATGGCCGAAGTCATTCAAGGCCTGCAAATTTGTCGCGATTCCAACTATCGAGAGTTTTTATATTATTTATAGTTGCCATTTGATAAGCAAATCTACGGTCGTCTTTAGTGATATAAAAAATGTGATATAAATAAAATAGTGATATAAAATTTTAATGCATATTCTTTGATATATTCTTTACGATCTTTTTCTTGGTCATCTGTAAATATTTCGTTGACATCATAGTTGGGCGTCAACCGCTGGTTTTGTAAAACTTGCGGATTGTTATTTTTTATATAACGTGGCAGTGTCGGATAGCATATGTTACAATTCTTTGCAGCCTTTCTGATGTTCCATCCTTACCTATAATTATAGTTTGATATTTCGAAGCATGTTATCAGTAGTGTGTATACTTTTCTTGCTTTTCTTTGATGACGGCACGCATTAAAGCTATTATTTTCCAACGAAACGCGTGAGTGGTTAGACGTGTCACACTAACGTTAAAATGCAATATTTAAGGTGCTAAATTAATATTGAAAATTCGAGCCAGTTACCAGTTGAACAGAAAATAAGGAGTGTTTAACAAAAGTGCTAACAAGTGACAAACGTAAGTTGATACGTACACAAAGATAGCTTACTTGTGAGGAAGGATCAAGATAAAGTGGTAAATAATCTATTCATTTACTGTTGTAACCACATAAACTTTAAACTTAAGTAACTTTGATGTAAAATGTCTAAGCTTATAAGATTACCCCCTGGCCGTGGAATGCAACATACACTATCGGATTCTGATGTTTTCAATATAGTTCCGACTCCTGCGACACTGTCTTACATTACTAAACGTAACAAAAGATAAAGCGAGTCAAGCGATGAACAATTATTTTCCTGTAAAGATGAAATTCGAAACATGTTGGATGAATGGAAAAATACACAAAACTCGCTCATAAACAAACTAGTTTCAGATATTGCAGAAATAAAACAGCAAAACATACAGATTCAGCGCTCAAATGAAGAAATTGAAAAGCTCTTGATTTCCTTAACAGTCAGTATGAAGATATGAAGAAGACGGTTGGTTGTCTTGAAAATAAAGAAAAGTAACACCTACTTCAGATAGCCTCACTCGAAGCGCAAATAGAGGATATACATAGAGCCTCAAAGTCATCTACTATAGAAATAAGAAATGTACCTATACCTGCATATTCGGAAACTAAAGCTGAACTATACGCGGAAGCTTCTTCTTCCTCAACAAGATGGCCGACCCTTGACAATGCACTCGCTCTTCCGATATCTATTGTTTGCCAAGATTATGAAGGAAACCTGCTTGAGCACATTAGGAGGAATGAAATGGAGCGGGTTAGCTAACAAACAAATGCTCAAGCAGGCATTAAATTATAGGAAAAACACACTTATCTCGGTGTGACTTCGATGCGGCTTAGGCGCTTCTGTTGCTGTGGTGCGACTTCTGGTGAGTCTTCTGGGGCTCCCCAGGGATGCGGTCCTGGCCGGTGGTGTGAAGGAAGAGAGCGGTACGTGACGATATCTCACACTATGTGAGGTGGTTACTTCTGGAGCTCGACTGCTCCAGGTGCGGTTCGGACTAGCGGCGCGAAGGCAAGAAGGCTTATATTGCTTCGGCCCTCCTATCAATGCATCTCGGTCGGGCGCGCTTCTCATTGGTTGCAAGAATCACGCAACATTCTAGAGTCTCTTCTTTCCCCTCTCACCCCCACCCCCCCACCCCGGTGTGTACGGAGGGACGATAGATCAAGGAAAGGATAAACGCTTGGCAAGTATACCCTCCAATAAAATGAAAATACGAATCGTTATCAGCGCAACCAACTTATGTAGTTCAAAAGTTGAAAATCGAAACGGTTTCAAGAACATCACCTTAATTAGAGCTCTTTGAGCTCTTTCTAGTCCTATTAGATGTGTTTTTGCTGCACCACCCCAAACAGGTATGCAATAACTCATTACCGATTGCGCTAGAGCTTTGTAGGTGGTGATAAGAGTTGTTTCATTTGCAACACACCTGAGTTTTTTAAATACTCATGTTAGTTTCCTTATCCTGTCAGCAATGTTTTCAAAGTGTTGACTCCAGGTAAAGTGCTTATCAATAGTTACCCCGAGATATTTGATGGTACTAGTCCTAGTGATTTTATCACATGAGCAATTATTATAGCTATCTAAATATGGATTATGGCAGGTATGAACTGTTAGGTTAAATTTAGAATTTGGTTGTGTATTTTTCCGTATAGTAAAAGGTATGAATTTAGTTTTGTTAATGTTAAGGGTCAGAAGGTTCGATCTCAGTCAGTTAGATATATGGTGTATTCCGGAGTCAGCAATAATCCTTAGATTTTCCCATGATTTTGCGTTAAAAATGAGAGCAGTGTCATCTGCGTAGGTGTATATTTGACAATTTTGTAGGCTTAAATTGCATAGACCGTTGAAATAGATTAAAAATAGAGTAGGTCCGAGGACGCTATCTTGAGGGACACCATAAGAGATATTTGATGGACGGCTAATATATTCACCAAGCTTGAGCTGTTGCTGACGTTCGGTAAGATAGTCTGTTAGAAGGGCGTGAGGCAGACCTCTTATATCATATTTATATAGTTCGTCTAACAGGATAGGAATAGAAACGGTGTCGAACGCCTTGGTCAAATCCAAAAAGACTCCAAGACATTTGTTACCAGTTGCTTACTTATTTCTTCAGTTAAAGCTAACACAGCATCCTGAGTAGAAATTCCATTTCTAAAACCAAATTGGTTTTTAGAGAGCAGGTCGTTATCTATGAGATATATTTCAATATATTGTCTATTAGTTTCTCTAGTATTTTTGATAGAACTGTTAGCACAGAAATTGGTCTGTAGTTGTCCACATCATCTTTACTTCCACTTTTATATATAGGGGTAACTAATGTCCTTTTAAATGTTATGGGAAATCGGCTACTTTTAAAGCAAAGATTACAGTGTGTCTGACCATTTTAATAAATGATGTAGGAATGTTATCCCATCCTGGGCAGACTCATTAGAGAGATCGCTTATGACCGAATTTATTTCCAACGGATCGGTATCTAGAAGAACAAAAGAATTCATTGGGGTTGGCATTTTATTCATGTAATTATTTACTATAGGAGGGGCAGAGTTTTATAAATTTTTTTCAGGCTTCAGGACCGCCTGTCCAGCACGTCTTCCCGGTACCATCTCATGTTGGTGGTAGGTAGACAAAACGGTGACAAGTTTGACGTCTTTCCACGCCACCAACGCGATGTCACCGCAATGTCTACCTACAGACACCCCACGCTCCAGCTGCTTCGGGTTCAAATCCTTTATAGCCTGTGGTATCCCCTTTTGCCGGCGGCTTATCGTGCCCAATACACTATCTGTACACCAGCTTTTAAGATAGCTCGTTAAGAGCAATTGGTTATACCAATTGTCCATAACGAGAACATGCCCTGTATCCGGGTACCCCTCCATGAGCTGTAAGACAACCTTCGCGGTTTTGTCATTAAAGCCATGTAAGGGTCCGGGATACATGGCAGTATTTTTGCCTGTGTGCAGCCGGTATTGGAGCAAGTAGCCGGTTTCAGCCTCACAAAGCTCAAAGGATTTGATTCTGAAGCGTGCAGTTTTGGTCCGTATACACTGCCTCCAGCTTAAACGACCCTTCCATAAAAGCAAGGACTCGTCTAAGCTGAGGTACTGAGACGGTGTATACATTTCTGCAAACTTTCGGTTGCAGTGGTCCACTACCGGCGCGATTTTTTCCACTTTGCGTTCATATCTCCTACTTACCAAATTTGCATTACTCACAAAGTGCACAAATTTGGCAAGTAGCAGGAATCTAGTCCGCGACATAATTTTGCGGAATGAAGGCATTTCCAAGATCCCCGTGTCCCAGTACTCGTGAATTTTGGAACGATAGCAAAAAGATAAATAAATTAGCACGGCAAAATATCTATACAGCTCTTCAACCGTGGTATCGGTCCAGGAATCCAAGTAATTTGGAATCCTACCACCAATATCAGGGTCGGAGAGAGTGATAATGTATTTACGAATTTGTAACGTAATACATAGATTAGGTGAATCATAATATGCCGTATAATTTTATAACCGTAAATAATGGTGCCTTTGGAAGTGACTAGTGTCTAAGATACAGGCTCGGCCTAGTTTAGACGCTAGTGTATAAAATTGTATAGATAAGTTATAACTCATACCATTTATTCAAATGTCTTAAAGATAAATAATGTAATCCTTACTTTGTGTCAATAAATTATTATTATTATTATTAGGTTTTCGTCGGTCAGTAATCGATAAATTTATTACATGTAGCGTAAAACGATAGAAAAGCTTTTATACTGCTTCCACTATGTTATTGTAAAACTCCAAACAAAAAAATAAGGACAACCGGCCATGTTCATCGAGTAAGTCATATCAGCCAGAAAACAATTTTAGGGACGTGATAAGGCGATAAATGAAAATAGCATCGTAGCCACCTTCGGTGAATCCGTAATAATCCAGAAGGAGGCTGCTGATCGGGTTCGGAGGAGGACAGGTCCCACTCAGATACGGCGCCGTCCAGGCGTTCGTCACGGCCCTTCTTTTGAAGATGGTGTTCCCCTACCAGGAATGGGGCCTCCGGAGTTACAGACATTAAAGGCGGAGGCCTCAAATGCCGCAATTTCCATGAACTCATATTTTGAACTCCAATAATAGTCCATTGATTTACGTTGGGTCCCGCGTTTGTGTGCGGTTTTTGTCAGAATAACTGTCAGTCTCCAAGATGTATCACAAAATCAGAGCCTCTAACGGTGGATAATGTAACTATTTTACGATATGACCATTATTAATCTTTGACCATATCATGAAGTAGCCGTGCGTTAAGCTATTAATATCGTCAAACGTTGATTATTTATTGATCTGACCAGGCCAAATCAAGATATAGTCACCGGATATTTTCCATTTCGATGTCGATTATTTTATAATATGATGAATTTTACGGTCTCTCTATGACATATATATATTAAACAACACAAACACTAGCAAGGGTCCACATAGTAAACAATGAAACACGATAACCACACAGCGTGTTTTTATTTTATTGTGTACAATATGTCACAATTTCTATAACCTTGAAATAAAAAAGTAACATAAAAATATTCCAAGTATGTTTTGTACCCACGAACTGGGATATTGAGAGGGGCCAAAGTTTATCTCCATTAGTATATCTTTCAGTAATTTCCTTAAAAATTTGTAATATTATGGCCTTTTCTTATATTCGCATCTAAATTTTCTATTTATCATATTCATGGAACTAAAACTAAATGTATTAAATTTGTAACTCCTAATGTCAAACATGTTAATACGAATGTAATTTTAAATGGGGAAGAACTGAGTCTTGTTGATACCACCATTTTTCTTGGAATCACACTAGACGCAAAGCTTCAATGGCTCCCCCATATATCAAAACTAGCTAGCAGACTTATTTCTGCAGCATATGCTGTAAAAAAGATTAGAATCTCTTACCAGTGTTGAAACAGCAAGAATAGTTTACTTTAGTTATTTCCATAGCATTATGTCGTATGGTATTTTGCTATGGGGACACGCGACTGACACTGAAATTATATTTATTTTACGGAAGAGAGCCATTAGAGCAATATATAATTTAAAACCAAAAGAGTCACTGAGACAAAAATTTAAGGAAATTAATATATTAACTCTGGCCTCTTAATATATTTATGAAAATGTAATGTACGTACACAAGAATAAACGTAGTTTTGCAAAAATAAATGATATTCATTCTGTAAATACTACAGACACAAGCTAGTAGTACCAGTTACTCGACTCCACCGAGTCAGTAATTCCTTCTTGGGGCGATGTATACGCTTTTACAAAAAAATCCCAAAAAATATAAAAAATTTGTCATACGCAAAGTTCAAAAATTTTATTAAACTATATATATATATATATATATATATATATATATATAACACTCACGCCTGTCACCCAGAGGGGTAGGCAGAGACTACAGACTTCCATTTGGCACGATCCTGACACACCTCTCTCGCCTCCTTCACATCCATACACCTACGCATACATGCTCGTCGGTTAAGGGTACTCCTAATTTGGCCCGTTTTCAATAAATCGCCAATTTGGTCGATAAATTTTCGCCTAGGACGTCCCTTTCCGACTCTGCCATTCACTTCTGCAACATAAATTTTCTTTGTCACTCTTTCCACATGACCAAACCACCGAAGCATTCCTTTCTTAATCCTGGTCACAACATCATCTTGCAAACCACACTCTTCTAAAACTAAGAAGTTCACTTTATTAAACTAAGTTTGTATAAAAAGGGTTATTTTAATATTAAGAAATTTATGGATGATAATAACCCCTGGGAAGGGTGATCGCTACCCAGCTATTTCTAATTTGTCTTGTGTTGTTAATTGTAAACATGACTGTAAGCTATTATTTGAAAAAAAAATTGTCCCGCTTGGTTTCTTGCTGGTTCTTCCCAGGACAGAGGTTTTTTTGCGAACCAGTGGTAAGTAAATGAAAAAAATTGACTTTCAATAAGTATTGTTTATAATCTACATTGAATAAAAAAGTTTCTGTTTCTGTTTCAGTATAATTATGTCGATTCCAGTAAATTACAGTTATATTATTTATAATTTGTTTTTATATGAAAAGACGACAAGCGAGCACACAGTCCTAAATATTATATAATCGTGTACACACGAGTATGCATTGTTGCTCTATCTCGTTCTAGCCTACGCTAATTTAATATGGCGCTTACATATTATGTAACGAGATTAATCGTCTTAATGCATTTGCAGACACATAAAGACAATTGCTATACATTCTCGCCTAAAAAGCTTATAAGTAATTTATGTATTTTCACAAACTTTCGTGCTGACATTATTCTAAATCCGAACTGGCGACATAGAAGTTAGGTAATAATAATAATAATGCCCACTAGACCCAATGTTGGTCACGGGGATTCTGTCTTAATGGAGACTAGCTATCCGCGCAGGGTAGGATTATAGTACTCAAATGTATACGCAAGCATAGATGCACTCTCTTTTCCCTGACTCTCATAATCCAATGGGACGGCAATCCGATACGACTGAAAACTGATCAGGTGGTTGATGTGCATAAAGCCTTTGGTCACGATCAACTACCTGACATAACTGCACTTAGTTATGGCACAGGGATGGGACACCGCTAACTTCCTAACCCTAAGCTCGGCTGCTGCTGAGGATTTTATGGCAGAAAAACTCATAAGCAGCCGCGTTTACGACCATTAAACAAAATAAGGTGTCAGTAGTAGGTAGACGGAAAGCAGTGTCTAGGATGCGAAAAGTCTGGCACTGCGACCTAAGCTAAGCAACTATGCGTGACGATTGCAGCAAACCTCCCCACAGTGAGAGATGCCTACGTCCATCAGTAGACTTTTACGGCCCTATGAAAACGAAGAAAAACAACAATATCTTACTTTGTTTTTTTTTCTATTACAGATGGTGGCAACGGAAGACACCTCAAATACTGTACCCGGTCATATCGAGACGCCCGGTACCTTCGGCAAGTTAAGGCAGACACTTTCGTCTTCTTTACTCACGGCTCAAGACAAAGGCAAGTAGAAAATTATTCTGAACGAAATTTTTTTTAAGAAAATTAAATATATTACTGTTGCGCGCCACAGTTAATGCCTGGTACATGGCACTAGCGCCATCTATTATCAAATAGAAGAACTAAGCTTTCTACAAAACTCCACACTCGAATTTTAGTCGATTGGAACCGGTATTTGCTGGCACATTCTAGATGTTTCGGTGGAAAAGGCCTATATAAAGCCGTTTAGGGCCGCGGCCGAGGCTTAGACAAGTGAAGGCTTGGAGCGAAATAAAGTAAACTAAAGTGTTAAGTGTGATTAATTATTAGTGTGTATTAGTTTTATTTGGTGTTCGGTAATTATAGTGTCAATTTTGGTAAGTCAATCGGTAGTTTTTACTGTTACGAACCCCAAGCTCGTAACATTACCAATATGTTTCATAGCAAATACGAATAAATATTAAGTTTAAAAGTTCTAATGCACCTTTGTTCCTCGTATGAGAAATTACGTTGGCACGCGCAGTCAGAAAATTTCCATAACAACCTGTAACAGATGACTTTTTAAACTCGTTATGGAAGCGTTTACTCTGTGAAAAAAACTACTTTGTACCGGATAAAAACATTTTCGTCTCTACCGACACCTTTAAATTAAATACTGAAAAGTAAATTTTAGTTATTCGTGACTCTATGGTTCAGAATTTACATAATCGTGTTAGATTTATGTTTTCGTATCTAATGAAGTGTGAGTAATGGAGAAGTAATTTACATGGTACATAGAGCTACGCTGCAGCTATAATATGGTTGTAGTACGAATGGGTCGTCCCAACCGTTGAAGGACCACGCTCTTACAGAATCTAGAATAAAATAGTAGGTTGATGCTGCTGTATTTCGTATGGCGAATGTAGACAACCAGAGACCTTTTTACAGTAAAGTAAAGTAAAGCTACAGCCTATATAAGTCCCACTGCTGAGCACAGGCCTCCTCTCATTTCTGAGAGGGTTTTAAGGCAAGGAATAGTCCGCCGCGCTGCCCCAATGCGTGTTGGAGAACTTCACATGTCTTTGAAATATTTTTTTTCTTATTTCTCAGACATGCAGGTGCAGGTTCCTCACGATGTTTTCCTTCACCGCCGAGCACGTGGTAAATCAGCGCTTAAAATTGCAATTAACAATTTCATTGGTGCCGGCGGGGATCGAACCCGGTTTGCTCGCGTATTGTGAAATTTACAGTGAGCGCTAACCATCTGAGCTACAACGGCTCTTACAGAACCATTTTACAGAAAACGAGGCATTTTGTCTTTTGATTCGCAATTGAGAATAAATTTAAATGTTTATCGGCCACAGCGTGTGCTAGTTTGTCACCCTTTTTTCTAAAAAAATATCTTTTATGTATGTTTAAAGTGCCAACTTATTACCGCCAAATAGCATTGTCTGCACTGATGTGCTTCAGTCTGAAGGGTTTAGAGACCTAGTATAATCACAGGCTTTTAAGCATTCCATGTTAGTCCTCAGAGGTAATAAAGGACAATACATATGTAGCCTTGTTTGTTTGAAGTAGATTTCAGGTGTCCATGGTTTATATGTAATAATAATAATAATGTCCTCCAGACCGAATTTCGGCCACGGCGGCCTGCCTCAACGGAGGCTAGCCATCGGCACAGGACAGGATCATAGTGCCCAAGTGTATGCGCAAACACAGGTGCACTCTCTATTCCCTCACTCTCATAACCCGATGGGACGGTAAACCGACACGACCGGAGAGAGATCAGGCGCAGGACAAACGGGCTTTACGTGCTTTCCGAGGCACGGGGGTGAGACACCGACAACTTCCTGACTCCGGGCAACTGCTGAGAATTTCTTGACGGAAAAACTCGATAATTAATTTTTTGGCCCGACCCGAGATTCGTACTCAGGACCTCATGATCAGCAGTCGCACTAATACAACCACTAGACCAACGAGGCAGTCAGAGGTTTATATGTAATAGTTACGTGATGGCATGTAAATTCAAAAAACAATTTGTATGTAAATTCGTTTGTCACTTAATAAAAAAAATACGTGTGGCACTCGGTGACTGCCGCGGTAAAGCTATTGCATAGCATTTTTTATCAACTTATGCAATTATAATTATTTATTTATTTTATTTATGCAGTTAAGTCTTTGATATTAAATCAAGTTACACTTTTTGAGCGTGGTGACCGATAAGAAAACAATTTTTTTTCTCTTATTGAATAAATGAGAAGTTAATATTGTTTGAAATGTTTTTAATATCTCACAATACTTTTTATCATTGAGTTAGCAGCTAGTGTACACGCATACGTCTAGTCGCACGCACACAAACACCATGCCGAAGTCTGCCGAGTGCCGAAGTCTACCAAACTGAAACGACGTTAGACGATGCACGGCTTTCAACGCCACACCTCCGTGCCCGTCGGAGTGGGGAGCGTGAGGTTTTTTTTCGTTACGGAATTTCTGGATTTATGCAATAGCTTAAAAACTTGTACCGTAATATTTATTTATATTTAGTATATATGGTTGCGATAAAATATACAATAGTCTATTTTTTCTTTTCTTTTCTTTCAAAAATAAATTTATCAAATACAAATAAGCGCCGTACATGCACGTGTAATAACAAGCTATTAACGTCAGAGTTAAAATGTTACCCTGAGTTTCCGCTCCAAGTTATCAACGCAATTTGCTACAAAGTTAGGAAGGTAATAATTTCAGCATATGTAGGAAACGTTGATTTATATGTTGCCTTTCGCTTTACTCTTATAAGATACACGTATTAGAAATAGTGTTCGTAACTTTCAATTTGGAAGTTGTGGTAATAGCTCCGATTTTTGAAAGTCCTACAGATTTTAAAAGGGTGTCCATGTGTGTTTTCATGTTACTTCATGACGTAAACATTCTTCGTCCCACATATCTCCAAATAATTATAAAATTGTCGTCAAATCAATTCCATTCGAAGTTCAATTGCAAATAATGAATACCATAATAAGTAATTCTTTATTATATATGGATACCACAAAATGTACTTAGAGAGTTTATTATAGCAAAGCCGATTTGTTAGCACTAATTAAACTCCGCCCCATTGTAAGACAGAAATCATCAAATACAGACATTTTAGTTCGGAATTCAGTCAGTCTTCACCAGAACCTCAGCAGGATATTATATTGTGATTATATGATGGTATATTGCGTGCTGATAAAATTGACATTTGTAAAAAAAAATATTCTTTCAATAAAATCCATTTTTTCAGCAATGGAAAATGCAATTTATTGTTCACTCAAGAGTTGAAAAAAGGGACTTTTGTTTGACCTGGAAAAATAGTGTTTTATTTTGACCACTTGCTCAAAAAAATAAGAAGCTTGTATTCTGCGTGTTATGTAGCCTAGATAAAGACAGTATTGCAAAACGTAGCACAATTAGCTAATCTTACGTCTATGGGACCAACTTTAAAAGAAAGAAAAGCAGACCAATAGTAGAAAGGAATAGGCTTATGCTCACTTATATTACCACGTAGCACGTATATCATCATCATTACAGGCGATCGACAGTCCACTACTGAGCTGAGGCCTCCCCCATAGATTGCTTCGTAAGGAAGATATTCACCATAGTTGCAACGATTATCAGACAGGTTGGCAATAGTTTTAAAAGGCCGGCAACGCATCTGCAATTCCCCTGGTGCTGCAGTTGTTCATGGGCGGCGGTAATCACTTACCGTCAAGTGAGCCGTGTGCTCGTTTGCCCCCTTTCCTGTAAAAATAAATTAAAAAAAAACCTTTTATGTACTCGTCTCTTATGTGCGTCCGTCCGTCCGCGGTTTTACTCAGAGACCCTAGGTGCTACGAAGCCGTAGTTTGGCATAAATATGAAAAATTACAGCTTTGTTTGAACAGCAGCAGACCTAGGGTCTACAAAGCTGTAGGCTATCTATAGTTATAGAGATGAAGAAGGGTTAAGAAATGAGAGAAAGTCTGTGCCCAGCAGTGGCATATATATAGACTGTTATTTTACTTTACTTACAGATATAGGAAGATTACTGTTACTTTACTTTATTACAAATATTAGGAAGTTTGTTCCGCCCCCATCTCACATCCCATTTATAGCGCAAAAATATGAATAATTTCTAACCTTGTTTCCTTTATCTTCTTTTTCATTAATCCGTAAAAATCCACTACTGGACATGAGTCTCTCCCGTTGTACGAATGATTTACTTCTCATTATTATTATTTATATATAGATTAACTTCTCGCATCGTTGATGCTGCTATTATACAGCCATCTATCTAAAGTCATCATTTCTCATAGTCGGTTCTTGCAAAACCTACGGGACGAAATGAGGTGGATTCTTTTACGCCACTATCACATGGCACGCATGACGCTTTATTTATACGCAACATCTATACCCAAATTTAACGAGATCTGTCGCGAGATTTACTTGTGTACATAAACAAGGATACAATATGTAACTTAGTATTGACATAAGTAGGTAATACTAAGGAAAAAAATGTTTTTTATAAAATAGGTAAATCTCGTGACAAGCTTTTATATAATATAAATTGTGTAATGTAATAAATTGTTGGGTTTGATTTAATTAAAAGTTTTTGTTTTTTTTTTTACATTTTAAAGAATTTAAATATAAGCTTGTTTTTAAAATGTTAATTTATTATTTTAATCTCAATTCAAAATCCATGAAGATCTTTCGTTGCAAACTCTTAACAATTTTCTGTCGTCAAGGGCTTTGATTAAATTGAAACTTGGAGTCCTAATTACATATTTGATAATGCCTTAATTAATCCTTTGAAATCTCAATGATAGTTGTAACGTTGGCGTTATTTGATTCCATTCGACTGCCTTTTGTTTGTTAAGAGTTTATCAATAAACAATAGATATCATTATATTATTAAAAATGAATGTTGTTATCAATAAAATTAATCTAATAATCATTAAGCATCAATTGTGTGTTTTCGATGAAAGTTCTATCAAAAGCTTTAGTCAAATTGAAAATTGATTTTCCAATTA